TAATTATGAGTAAAATCTAATTGAGAAATTAACAAAAATGGCACCCAGGAAATTTAGTAAACATGAGTAAAATCTGTTTTCTATTTCCGTTCAGGCAGGAAAACATATAAAAGTTTCTTAAGCATGAATAATATCTGCTTTGAGAAATCATTTCATTTATTTCTTTATCACCTGATGTAATGATGACTCAGGTCGATGGCATAGTTTGAACCGCTTATCGGTAAAAGAAAAAAAAATATATTAAACAAACACATTGTTCCAGTTATAAATTCCAAAATGGAACTTTTATTTTTAAAAATTTTATTAAGTATAAAATACACTTAAATGGATATCTGTCTTAAAGCTACTTCAATTAACGGCTTCAAATAACAAATAACGAATAGCTAGAGACAAAATAACGATAATAATAAGGTTCTACTCCTATTTATAAAGTAAAACTGATTATTAATCAATGATAATACATAAAAGAGTCTATTATATTCTCAATATATAACTTTCCCTTTTTTTTGCACATATTATTCACAATAAACGTTTTAAAAAGCGACAATAATATTGCCTTTGGATTTAGACAGTGGCGTAGGGTTTTCAATGTTGGATTTTTCTACTTTTTAGGTGATAATGACTCGGAAAGTTATAATAGTGATTCAAACACTTCTGAGTCAGAACCCAATGGGGATGCAGACTTACAACTTAGGGGGACTACATCGCCCGAAAGTCAACCGCCCATAACTGAAGCTCTTGCCGATCCTACCGAAGTGCTTTTGGGATCTCTCTCTAAAACTGAAGACAAAGAGGGCCCTGAAATATTTCCAGATTTAGCAGTACGTTGGCAGTCTTATTTATCTGTTGGATTAGACAAAGAATCCAGGAAAAAATTATTAGAGGATTGGCATTCTCCAAAAAATTGCAGTTTTCTAAAGGCTCCAGTATTAAATCCTGAAATCGCGTTTCTACTTTCACCAGCAGAGATTAAAAAAGATAAATTTCTTCTAAACATACAGCATCTGTTGGGAAAAGGACTTTCGGCACAAGGCTTTATCCAAAATTCTTGAAGAACAAGACACAGTCGACTCAACTACAAAACAGGCATTGGTGGACTCGGGAAAACTCCTAACAGATACATTCCACTCTATATCGTTTCATAGAAAATTTCAACTCCACAAGTCTTTAAATGACAAATCCCAAAAAATTTCCATTGGCCAAAATATAGATCATATCTTTTTGGATCCGACTTTGCGCAAAAATGCAAATTGGTCAAGGATGCCGAAGCGGTTGCAAGAGAGCTCTTCAAGCCTCATTCAGGAAATAAACCGGTTCCATCCACTTCCGGTGCCAAATCTTTAAACTTCCAGCGCCCATCCTTCAAAAAGAGAATGGAATCGAACGAAAAAAGAAGGGGGAGCCATACACGTCATACCGACAATCGAAAGATCTTCCGAGGGAGTCCAGCAGGAAACCAGGATATTACACCAAGAACAACAACCGGAGCAGATTCCATTAGAGGTAGGTCATGCAGGCAGAATTAAATATTTCTTGAAAAATTGGGAAAAAATTACCCAGGACAGAAGTATCCTACAATGGGTTACTGGATACAAAATTCTCTTTTCAAGGTTTCCAACACAGAAAAAAGTTCCCAAGCAAAATCTTAGTCAAAAATTTCTAAAACCCATCACTGAGCTTAAAAACTTAGGGGCAATCAAAAAAAGTAAACGTTGTAAATATCAATATGTTTCCTCGTACTTTTTAAGGAAAAAACCTAACGGAAAACAAAGATTCATTTTGAACCTTAAGGGTCTAAATACTTTTATTGATTGTCCACATTTTAAACTAGAGGATTTTCGTTCCGTAAAAAATATTATATCAAAACACTGTTACATGGCAAATATCGACTTAAAAGATGCCTATTTTCTGCTACCAATACACAAAAAATATAGAAAATTTTTAAAGTTCAAACACAATAATCAACTATATGAATTCACTTGTATGCCTTTCGGCTTGTCCATCGCCCCCTATATTTTCACTAAAATATTTAAGCCCATTATGAATCACTTAAGATCACTAGGTTTTTTGTCTGTGCTGTATTTGGACGATATTTTATTATTTGGCAAAAACAAACAAGATTGTTATAACAACGTTAATTATACGATCCAATTGCTCACATCATTAGGTTTCTTAATAAATTATGAAAAAAGCTTGCTTGAACCTACTCAAGAAGTAAAATTCTTAGGGTTTATATTCAATAGCAATAAAATGACCATGTTCATACCACCAGAAAAATCCGAGAAAATATTAATCATAATAAAATCAATAAAAAATAAAAATATTATAAAGATAAGAGACTTTGCCAGATTCATCGGCATCCTAGTGTCAGTATGTCCAGCCATTTCATATGGTTGGGCGCACATTAAAAATTTTGAATATTGCAAATACAGAGCATTAAAAAGATGTTTCGGTAACTACGACGACACACTTAAAATCAATAAAGAGTTGCATGACGATTTTTCCTGGTGGATAGCGAACCTTTCCAATAGTGAAGTTAGTTTATTAGAAACTCCCTATGTATTAACGATATTCACGGATGCTAGCAACTTAGGATGGGGGGCATCTTGCAACGACAAATCAATTTGGGGTTTTTAGAATTTATTTGAAAAGAAAAATCACATTAATTACCTCGAGTTATTAGCCGCCTTCAACGGACTAAAATCTTTTGCCAAAAACCACAGTAATTGTAACGTTATACTTAGAGTCGATAATATAACCGCCATATCACACATAAATAGAATGGGAGGCATTAGATTCCCTCACACGTTAACACACGGGACAACGTGATTGCAGATAGGGCTTCTAGACAAACACCAACAGAATCTGAATATAGTCTTCCAAGAAATAAAAAACGTTTTTTGGCACTCCTCAAATCGACCTATTTGCTTTCTACCAAAATAAAAAATGTCAGGTTTTTGTCTCTTGGCACCCAGATCCTCAATCCTCCTTTATAGACGCGTTTACACTTAACTGGGGAAATCACTTTTTCTATGCATTTCCACCGTTTTCGCTTCTACCAAGGGTTTTAAAGAAAATAAAAGCTGATAAAGCAAAAGGAATCGTCGTTTACCCGTTGTGGAAAACGCAACCCTGGTTCCCAGTTTTGGAAAATCTACGAATAACAAAGCCAATATTTTTTTCCGATGATAAATCATTATTACTTTCTCCTTCCAGGAAACCTCACCCACTATGGAAGAGCATTATCCTGGGTGCATCCGTACTCTCTGGCTAGCACATAGATCAAGAGGTGTCCCAGAAAGCGTCATAAATATATTAATTTCTTCTTTAGCAGACAACACCATAAAACAGTACAATAGTACTTACAAAAAATGGTGGGAGTTTTGCGGAGGTAACGATGTGTTTAACGCTGAGCCTAACAAAATTATGGAATTTTTAAATGCTGAGTTCGAAAAAGGACCAAATTACAACACTTTAAACCAACACCGCTCGGCTATAAACACATTGTTACAATCTACAGACGATCCCTCAATAACACGATTCATGAAAGGTGTGTTTCGACTGAGACCAGTTTTTCCAAGGTACAATGAAACGTGGGACCCTAACCCTGTTTTAGATTATTTCGAGTCTCTCGTGCCCTTAAACACATTGCCCTTGGAAAAACTGACTTACAAATTAGTTATATTATTGGCGCTCACGACAAGTCAACGAGTCCAAACTCTAACGAAAATTAAATTAAGCAACATTAAATACTTTAAAGAAAAAATAGAAATTAACATACCAGACATCATTAAAACATCAGGACTCAGAAAATGCCAACCAAAAATAGTACTCCCCTACTTTAGTGAAAGACCTAATATATGTGTTGCATCCACCCTAAAATTTTACATAGGCTACACCAAAACATTAAGAAAAAACAATGACCAACTTCTAATAACAATCAAAAAACCTCACCATCAGGCTACAGCCCAAACAATATCCAAATGGATTAAAAAAGGATTAACGCTGGGTGTTGTTGATACACATGTGTTTAAAGCACACAGTACTCGCCACGCTTCTACGTCTGCAGCCTTCAGAGGAGGGCTAAATATTGAAACGATTAGACGTACCGCAGGGTGGAGCAACAGGTTAAATGTTTTTGTAACTTTCTACAACAGACCAATATCTGAGGATTTAGACTTTGCAAAAACGTTAATAAATAAAAATTAAAAGGTTTTGTTATATTTGTTAAATTATTATTATATTGTTATATGTTATATTCACAATTCGATATTCATAGGAACATTTACAATTAGTTTCTTTATATAAGTATATAGGTTTTTACGTTAATTAGATTGTGTATAAATAAGCATAATGTATTTGTAAAATCAAAAAGAAAACATTTGGTAAGGTTAGTCTGACACAGTGTCATTCAAATACATTACATATATACATTAAAAAGACTACATCTGTATTATTTTGTATTCTTCAGCTATATAGCATTAAAACATTAAATAAACTGCAGTGTTTTTCCTTTCTTTCAACCAAACTCAGATCGTTAAACCGTCTTTAAACATCTACAGGGTGATCTCGAGGACGGGGCTCTCGATGTATAATTAGAGGTTAAACGACTTACCTGTAAGGAAGTTCAATCCTCAATTATACGAGAGAGCCCCGTCCGAAGAGATCACACCCGCCCTCCTCAAGCCCAGAATACACGATCTGAGTAGAAACATAATGACTAGCAGAGCGGGCCTGGGGACTGCAGGCAGAGGCATCACATTCTTTCTGTAAACAATACGCCGAAAACGAGAACTGAAGCATATACTACAGGGTGATCTCTTCGGACGGGGCTCTCTCGTATAATTGAGGATTGAACTTCCTTACAGGTAAGTCGTTTAACCTCTAATTAGTATTGTGACACCATTGGTTTAATATATCACCAAAGGACTTTTAAAGTTAATGTTTGGGCAGACATTGTCAATATTAATATAGTAGGACCAGTATTTCTTCCAAATAATATGAATGGTGCAAATTATTTGCAGTGCTTACAAAATGATTCACCAAAGTACTTGGAAGAGGTAAATTTAGGAATAACGTAAGTAACATAAGTTTTAAGACAAATTTCGTAACTAATTTTTTTCACTTCAAAAGAATTTAATCTACCATTGGTTAGAATTTATTCAATTAGGCCTTGTTTTCATAAATATTGACTATTGTTGTCGAAAAACTTTTGAGACATGGCGTATAAAATCGAAATCCGAAGAAGCATCCATAATTTAGTTGGTCGAATGCAAAATGCTGATATTATAAACATATTTCAAGGAAATAATAGCTCCCGTGCAACTATTTACCGAACAATAAAGGAATGTGAGGACAGAATACCTTGTTTGAACGTACCAAAAAACGGACAGCCTCGGATTTTGACAGATATTAGAGCAGATAGACTGAGGAAAAGGGCAAAAGAAAATGTTGGTGCATCTACACGAAGATTGGAAAGGCGCTATGGATTTTCACACATGACTACATATCGAGAAATTAAGAGAAGTGAAATGTCATTTAGAAAAAGAAGAAATGTTCAAAATACAGAGCAGCGTAGTTGCAAAGAATTCCACGGTGTTGTCGAGCACTAATGTTTCAATACTTTGCAAACAACCGAATCATCGTTTTGGACGATGAAAAATATGTTACGTTATCTAACTCTGAGATAAAGGAGAATGTTGAATTATGTACTGAGGATTTCAGTGCGGTGCCGGATAATGAGAAATTTAAAAGGAAAGTTAAATTTGAAGATACAATTCTGGTGTGGTGTGTCATTTCTCTAGCAGAAGCTTCGCGACCATATGTAGGACATTTTAGAGGAGAAGCCATCACTACAGGTCTTTATATACAAAGATATTCGCCTAAATTGTTACTATTTATAAACGAACATCATATTAATGATGAAATCATGTTCTGGCCTGATTTAGCATCTTGTCACTATGCCAGACAAACTAAAGATTGTTCAGAAGCCAATAATATCCCATTTGTACCCAAAGAAGGTAATCCACCTAATATTCCCCAAACACGCCTCATTGAAGATGCCTTATTAAGCAGAAAAGTTTATGATAATGGTTGGGAAGCAGAAAATACAGAACAAATAAGAAGGAGAATTTACCAAAAGATTCGGGAAATCGATGTTGCTACTATCCAATCACTTATGAGAAACTTGACAACAAAAATACGCCGGATTGAAGACCATGGGCCGCTAGCTGCATTATAATAATTCATATCATTAAGAAATTATGTTAATCGTTGACTGTTAACAAAGTTTAAGTAAAGTTAAAAATTTGAACCTATTTCTTAGCTGGTCAGAAGTCTAGATCTTAATCCAATAGACTTTTGCTTCCGGGGTTTTATGAAAGAGGACGTGCATTCTGTTAAAATAATCGACGAACAACAACTGAGGCATCGAATTATCAAAATGTCGATTTTAATAAATCGGAAGAATGTGCGTCAATTCAAAGATTGTTCTCCTGTTAGTATTTATTACATAAAAGTATTTTTGAGGTTATGTTTATTATCAAATTTTATACAAAAATATTATTAGTTTTACGACTGTAATTTATATTTTGTGTTTTGTTCCAGTCTGTATGACTTTAGAATAATCATATGTTTTGTACCCAACTGTAAGTACTATGCAGTGAGCAAATAAATTTGAATTTCCTATAGAAGAGATACCTAAATGAAGTTTCAAAAACAAAACTGCTTGAATGGATACAATGTCATTAGAAAAGATTTCACAGAGACCAATTATATCTGAGTGTATTTAAAAAGGTACTTTTATATAGGAAAACCATCAAAATGAAGCAATGACTGAGTTCCATCAAGAAACGAGCTCTTATGGAAATAATATAAAGTACTGAACTTTAAACAGATCTTAGATTGCAGTTGCCAGACAAGAAAAATCATTGTACATTGTATCAGAAGGTAGTTCACAAGTATAACAAATTCATTATATGTCTTATTTGAACAAGAATAATTTCTTGATCCTAGTACAATTTTGTATGAATTTTGTAGGTTGTCCCTAATGAATTTGAAATTATAGAAATATGTCCTATCTATAAATGCTAGAGTTACTGATAAATAGTGTCAGACTGATGTAGCGGTGAGCATTTAACTCAAATGATGGTGTCGCATGGTCGCACGAATTTACAAAAAAATTGAAGCTAAACTTACATTACAGTTTTTTAAAGACGATATAAAAGATAAACATTGCACTTAGCTAAATTAATTCAAGAAACTAAATAGTTGTTTCTATGTTAGGTATGTACCTACCTATATCATAAAGACCTAATTAAATATTTACCGATATCAGTAGGTACCTGAGATGTAAACTGAACTATGTTGTACTATTTATAGAGGCATGTTGGAGATATATGACACTATATCATAGAAACATTGTTATCAGAACATAGAAATATATTACCAAAACTAACAAGTTATGTATATTAAAAAAAAGTTTTAACAGTTAGATTATTAGTAAACAATAAATATTATAACAATAATTGTCGAAATATAATTGATATATGTAAATATGGAAAACAAAAGTGTCCAAACAACATTTAGTTTGACCTACTAAAAAGTTGACTAGAATGATTGCAGTTTACCTCCAAGGCACTGATTACCCATTAAATAATTTTGAAAATTTTGACTGTATCATTTTTTTATTGTACCTATTTTTTTAGTCTATTATGTTATTGTTTATGTTATTGTTTGTTTGTCTCTGTTTAATTTAAAAAAAATCTGATAAATAATGGGGGTTTAAGGATGTATGAAATTTAAAAAAAATCATACATTAAAAATGAAAATCAAAATCAACATGAAATTTTTAGTAAAAATCAAGCTCTATAAGGAGATGAGGTCTATTGATTCTGAAAAAAATCTGATTGAAAATGGGAGTTAAGGGGGGTTTGTTAAATTGTGAAGAGTATAATTTAGAATGCCAGGATATTTCAGATAAAAGTATCCACCTTAAGTAACTTTTGAAGGACTGATTATTACAAAAAACAAAAAATACGTCAATTAATATTCGAAGGGGGAGATATCGTGCCATATTTAAGTTTGCTAAAAAAGTCACCCTTTCACCCCTACTATCATCCCTTCAATTTTTTTAAATGGCTTGCCCCATTTTTTTATCCATTTTTGGATTGCTCTCTTTTAACTGATTTCAAAAATGTATAAAACATGGGGATTAAAGTAATTAGTTTACGATCTACAGAATTTTAAATTAAAATAAAATTGAATTGTGCAAAACTTTTATTTTAATGATTTTGTCACAAGCGTTTCCAATGACAAAACGAATATTTCATTTTCAAAATTTATTATAAAAATTGTTCAAAATGTCCACCATTTACTTCCATACAATGGTATAACCTAGATTGAAAAGGCTCCCTGACATTACCGAACACGTGTGCATTTAAATGTAGGCATTCATACTCTATTCTTTGTCGTAAATCTTCTAAAGATTCTGGTTGGGTAGCATAAATTTTTGTTTTTAAATAACCCCATAAAAAGAAGTCTAGAGGTGATAAATCCGGTGATCTAGGTGGCCACTCCATCATCGAGCCTCTTCTACCTATCCAACGATTGGGGAAAGTTTCATTTAAAAATTGTCGTACTGGCAAAGCAAAATGTGGAGGCGCTCCATCCTGTTGAAAGACAAGCAAATCTTCAGAAAGATTATGATCATTTTCTATTATTGTTGTAATACGTGGATCAATTACTTCTCTCAATAACTCAAGATATGACTCTCCATTTAAGTTTCCGTCTAAAAAGAAAGGTCCGACTATGTGGTCACCTAGGATACCACACCATACATTTAACTTTTGAGGATTCTGTGTGTGGTATTCACGCACAACATGTGGATCACTCTCAGCCTAATATCTGCCATTATGTCTATTAACTAAACCATTAACTGAAAATGTGCATTCATCCGAAAAACAAAGGTTGTGCAACAAATAGTTCACAAAATTCAAGACGACGATAAAAATCATCTTCATACAACTCTTGAACCAATTTAATTTTGTATGGATGGTACTTATGCTTGTGTAATATTCGATAAACTGTGGAAGATGAAACACCTACTTCTCTGCTTATTGTTGTCAGTGACTGTGCTTGTTGATTTTCAAGACTTACTTGTCCTAAAACTGCGACTTCAATTGCTTCGTTATTTACGAGTTCCAGTCGGTTATGTTTTTTATTGCCAACTGACCCGGTTGATGTAAATTTATGCATAAGATCAATTACATACCTACTTATGAGTTGCATGACCTCCTTGGTGTGTTTCGTTGAAAATTCTAGCAGCAGCTCGTGCAGAACTGTTATTTTTGTAGTATAAACCTACAAGTTCAATTCTTTCTTGTAAACTGTAAACCATTTTCAAATCAAATAAATAACCTCAACAAATCAATGTGCACATGTATCAAAATACACTATAAAAGTAATTTAAATTCATTTTTCAAATCTCCAATACCTTTACCATGTATCATAAAAAACTTCAACAAGTTTTTAGCGGTACGATTAAGGTATAATGTATTCTAAATCCAATTTTGCTGCAGTCAGTAAGGTGAGATGTAAAAATTTGTCACTCAAATAATGGAACCCTGTAGATCATAAACTAATTATTTTAAACCCATGTTTTAAAAATTTTTGAAATCAGTTAAACGAGAACAATCCAAAAATGGATAAAAAAATGGGGGAAGCCATTTAAAAAAATTAAAGGGATGATGGTAGGGGTGAAAGGGTGACTTTTTCAGCAAACTTAAATATGGCACGATATCTCCCCCTTCGAATATTAATTGACGTATTTTTTTGTTTTTTGTAATAATCAGTCCTTCAAAAGTTACTTAAGGTGGATACTTTTATCTGAAAAGCACTGTATATATATATATATATATATATATATATATATATATATATATATATATATATATCTTCATTCTAGTTTGTATCTGGGTAATGTTATGTATTGTGACATGTAATATGTGTGACAAATTGTGAAAATGATTAAATTTACAATAAAAACCGAAAAACGGTAGGTAAAGTTTCATACAATATTTTTTACACAAAAATCAATGTCAAGCTTTGTACATAACCTGATATACAGGATGTTTCCGAACTTGGCGTCCAAATTTGTAGGGGTGGTAGTTTGAGAGCGATTGACAGATTTCATTTTTCTAAAAAAATTATAATAAACAAAATAGAGCCATTATAAAAAAAAAATCAAAGAGTGGGTCCTACCCTGAGCGCGTAGTGCAATAGTTGCCTGATCGGTTACTCATCAGGATTTACAACTCAAAAACAGATGCGATTTGCAATTTTGTCGATTCTAAGCAAACTTACGAAGAACTCGATCGTAGCGCGCGCGAGTCGAGGCCATCCTATCGCTTTGCAGTACCGTACCTGTTTAAAATTTTTAATTAATTTTTAATTATTTTTATTTTAAATATTTTGGAAAAATGAAATCTGCGAATTAGTCTCAAATTATGCGAACTACCACCCCTACAAATTTGGATGCCAAGTTCGGAATAGTTAAAAATGATCTCAAAACATGAAAAAAAGTCAGCTGACTATAACTAATAATGTTTATAAATAGTTTTCAACGTAAATAGTTTAAAACAAAACAAATATTGCAATAACTAAAATATTCATTAGTAGTTGTAATGCTTGCAAACAGTATATTGATAATAACTACACCTAATATAAACCCAAATAAAAAAAAAAACAGAACGATATTTGGTTTGAAAATACGCATCGTTTATCAACAACTATGTATTTGTAACGATTAAAAAAATGCCAATAGTGTTCACTTACACTTTTGCCAACATGTATTTTAATAATCCACAAATATTGACCTTAATAAAGCTATTCTCTACTTCATTTCCTGTTAATACTGTAATTAATTTATGATAGATATAAAAACAAATTCCATAGGCGATAATTACGAATTCCAACAAAAAACTCTACCTTCTATTTATATAAAATTTTGATTACGGAACAATATACCTTTAATTCTAATATAATCTGGCTCTACATACAAAACTACAACCGGTTTATTATTTAAATATTTTTATTTTAAATGTTGTTTTAGCGTTTCACATACCATTTAATTGAATTGAGCTTTGTATTTATTTATAAATATTATATATTAATTTTAAATCCGGGTCAAATGGTAGCATAGATAGTAATTATTAATTCCAATATACAATTTTAAATATGTTT